AGGTGGAATAAATCACCAAATTTATTATTATTTAAACTCTCTTAAGCATACCAGAGAGCCAAATGCAAAGCTCTGCAAACTGGCAGAGGCTTTTTATGGAGGGCTATAAATATTGTGGAATCTGTCAGGATTTATAAATTCCAAATATATGTAAATGTACATTTTACCGAAGGGGTCAGATTTACGCAGCTCATACCTTCATTTGAAATTTACTTTTAAAATACGGTCACTTTGAAGCCTGTCAGCATGCAGCCATCTGCACAACCATGAACTTGGATGCTACCACATCTGTCCTGATAGAAGCATCTTCATCTGTGGTCAGGAGTGTGGTGACAAAGGAACTTGGCCTTGCATATAGTAAAGGGAGTTGTCATATATTTATATTAACCCTTGGTGGGAGATGATATTTGTTCATCTTCAGCCTAGGTGTGCAAAGATTCTCAGATGGGGAAAGGTATTGGGACCATCAACAATAACAAACTCTTTCCAAAAATATTGCTGAAGAAATCTGTTTAAAAGGCATCCACCCCTTCATGGAATGAAGGTGATGTTAATTACCCACCCACCCCCCACACACAATTCAGTTTGAACTTAGGCATTTTACATATCCTGGGCAATCCCTGTCATTCCTCCTTCAGAGAAGAGGGAGTCAAGCCTATAGAAGTGTTAAGAAACTTTCCAAAGTCACTTAAAGTTCATAAGAAGTGGAGCCAGCAAGACACCATGTTCTACACTGAAGCCAGAGGTGGTGTGTCCATCTCAGCCTTGTCTTAGAGGAAGTACTCCCTGGTCAAGAGAAAATGCCCAAGATCCAATGAGTTGTGTTTATTTTTTTTTATTTTGAAAATCAGCTTGAGATTTTGTTTAAATCCTCACTAGCATCATGAGCATCCAAGAAACCTTGAAATAGGAAACCTTGTTTAGCTTCACTAGATATACCTGCTCTCACTCACTCAAGCCCCTCTTACATTTTGTAGCCCCTGTTTATATCCTACAGAACTAATGCCATGGACAGCATTCTTTGAGATCCTCTACTTTATGTTATTCTTAGAATTGTAAACGTATCTGGTTTGGAGGACACCTCACGCCTCTCTATTCATAAAGGACCAAGCTGGGTCTCTCATTTGTCCTTTGGGAAGAGGCACTCTTCCCCTTGTCCTCAGCAAGACAGGAAGCTCTGTGTGAAGGTTGACAAAACATGCACCTTTTCACAGCCTCACACAGACCTGAAACATAAAAGTTTCATATATTCGACAGTTCATATTGATCACCCACTATATGACTGTATTGAAGGGGCTTGTCTTGGCTCCTAGGATACAGCATTGAACATATTCTGGCCCTTGCTTTCTGTAGTGCTTCCTACCCAGGTGGAGGAGATGCACTAAGCAAATAAATACACAATGCTGTATAATGCTGGGTGATGATAGGTGCTGTGGGGAAAACAAAGCCAACTGAAGGAGAACGGCATTGAAAGAGGGATGCTGATTGTAATTTTATACTGGGAGGTCAGAGAAGGTCTCGCTGATAACATGACATTTGAGCAGATTAAGAACAATTTGTAATTTACACAGGGGATCATCAGAGGAGGTGACCAGAATGACAGGTTTGTCCTTCATCTGACTC